TACAACTGTACAAGCATCATTAGTTCTCGCGGTATCTACCGTACGAGTCGTTGTATGTGCTTCCAGCTCGTTTTGGTGATCGGTTCGCGCTGAAAGCTGTACTGCAGTTTTGGCTTGATAGTTGTTCCGGTTCGGACGTCCACTTCTGTAAAGTGGAAACTTGTAAACGTTCATAATGTCATGTAAATCGTTATTAGTACAAAATAATTACTTCTGTTCTGATGTAGTGTCTGCTTACAAAACGCTTGCTGCACAACGCAAGAATTTTTTGCTAGCTTCTGTTCGCTCGAATGCGCAAATTGTATTATGATAATACTATTTCATACTTATTAACATTTTATTGCTATAGGGGTTACTTTGATTTAGTTTGATCGTAATTTTGTTAACAAAAGCGTGATTTGCGGTTACTTATTGTTGATCGACGACGAACAGTTCTGCAAAAAATTTGGGAAATTAAAGCTGTAATTTTTTCGTCGGACTGAGTTATGACTTAATCGCAACCTTTGCGGTTCCTCTGTGTGTTTCTTTTCGCAAAAGCAGTAAAAAACTTGAGAACTGACTAAATTTTTCTAGAAATTATTCAGTCGGTGCTGACCGATTGCTAATTTTGCGCCAATTACGCAAAGAACGCTTTTAAAATGGCAGAAAAAAAGCATTAAAGGCTAAAGTCGCTGTGCAAACAAAGCTCCCACGAGAACGATACGATCGGCGCAGATTTCTTGCCGATAATGCGTTATCGGATGATTGCCACATGGATTCGCAATATATCACTGGCGACCGTCAAAATTGCTCTGAGCTAAAAAATATATTTAATGCACTGAATTGAGTTCGCCTTTTTCCATACGTCTCTCTCGTATTGCGGGCTTCCGTGCAGTTCGAGCCGGCTGCTGCCCGCACCAGCACCATATGTCACAGTAGATGTCGTGGCCCGTCATTTTCCTGTTCCCCTGTCCTCGAACGTTCATAAACCGCTTAAAGGAAACTATGTTTTTCAGCGTTATTGAGTGGGATGGTTTTCAAGCAACGCACTGCCATCGCGATGCAAATTCTATTTGTTTTCCGAATGAAACTACGTTTTATTCCGTTTCGCCTTTTCCGTCTCATTCTACACACCGGCACGCATATCACTTCCGAGCTTCCGGATGGGATATACGGAGGCGGGGACCATCTGGACTCTGGACTGGACTTCTGTCCCATCGAGTTGGCTGATATGACGATGGCCGTAATTCATTAACCGTGTTGTACCGCCGTGTACCATAGTTATGATATGAGACACATTACGGTATATGATTCCGCCATCAACGTCGCGATGCGCTGTAATGCATTCTCGCCGAGCGATCACAACACAATTATTGCGTTACAGAGTAAGCTAGTCGGGGCCTGGGATGTAGCCACAGCATCGTGTCGAGATATTCCAAGCACCGACTAGCCGAGAGCGCTGCTCAATCGGGAATTCTACCGTCTGTGTAATGGACAATTCATACGCCATGAATCGCGGACGCCAGAATAAAAGCGGATCTAGCTGAACCGATGGTTTGGGGCAGGATAAGTGTACTGTATCCTTATGTTACGGATTGCTACGAATAAAATACTGTACTACTTTATCTATCGTTGACGGCGGGTCACAGAATTGTGTGTTGCATAGGTGCACGATGATGGCGAATATTTGGTATAATAAATGCGTATATCGCCAGGCATTTGCAGGCTGTTGTATCTCAGTGGCTAAATTTTATGCTTATTTCCTTAAGGGATTTGGCCCGGTACATAGCATTAAATTCGTGTACATCCACGGGAACTTTCGCTGTCGCGCACTCCCAAACACTTTTTCCATTGCTATATGGTATTTTACAGCCAAATGACTTGTATACAGAGGCGTGAAGTCCGTTTTTGCGCGCAACATCCGGTTCGGCAGTTATGGCTGTTAGAAATTTCCAAAAAGTTTAAATGCATTCAGGTGTACCAAAAGTCTCATTATGGACCGATCCCTTTCAGATTTTGTACGTAAATGCACATAACCATGAAGATCGTTCTTACACCGATCCACTGTTCTAGTATGTTTTTCAAATTTTAAAATGAATTTCAAAAATTTTAAAATTCATTTTAAAATTCGAAAAAATCGTGTGTAAGTCTGGATCCGTGTAAGAACACTCTTCATGGTTATGTGCATTACGTGCAAAAAGGATCGTCCATAAAGCACCTGAATGCATTAAACTTTTGAATTTTCTAATATAACTCCCGAACCGATGTTGCGCGAGAAAATGGATTTCACGCCTCTGTATACAAAACCATTTGGCTACATAGTCAAAAGCAATTCAAAAAAGTGTTTGGAAGTGCGCGAAAGCGAATAATCCCGTCAATGTACACGAATTTAATGCTATGTACCGGGCCAAATCCCTTAAACCAAAGTCGGCTGCATTATCATGCATTTATTATGCATAAGTACAGCGATCACATAAAGTAATTAAATACATTTATTTAGCTTATTATGTATTCGTACTCCAGAATTAATATGTGCAGTGCATATTGTACAGTGTACAGTACAGTATTATGTACAGTTTACTGTGTATATTGTGTACAGTGTTCAAGTGATATTGCTATGTATTTATTTTTAAACTTTGTTAGCGTAGCGGTTACGTATTGTGCATCGAGAACGAAAATGAATATATATTAAATGGTTTAACACTTTCTCCATAAGCAGTAAAAGCAATTCAGAACTGCCTAGAGTATTCTAGAAATTATTTATGCCGGTGCTTGAGCGATTTGTGAATACTGTGATTCCCGTTAGCGAAGCGGTCAGTTACGCGATGAGCGATTTTATGCTGGCAGAGAGTACGTAGAGGATTAATTTGTTATTAATTTGTCTACCGCTTTCTGTTGCTTCCTGTAAGTATTATCTTCACGCCGCACCGTTCCTTTCCGTCGGTTTACGCTAGCGCAGTTCTCGTGCGCCCCATCGAGCTGGCAGGCATGTCGGATGGCCGCGATTCTTCGCTTGATTATGACTGCACCGTGTACGTTAGGTACAATTTGATAAATACATGACATTGCGGTATAATTTCCGCCATTATCGTCGCGATGCGCTATGGTGCATTCTCGCTGAGCGATAACAACACGCCGATACTGCGTTACCGAGTTGGCTAGTCGGTGCCTGGGATGTCAGCACAGTATCGAGCGGTTGTGTCCCACGTGCCTACTAGCCACGGGCGCCGCTAAGTGGTGACATCTGGAATATTATTGGAAAATTCAACGCGCCATGTATGGATCATGGAAGCCAGAATAAATTAATGTGGAGTTAGTGGAGTCTATTGTTTGCCGCAATAAAGCGCTGTGTCCTTAAGTATGTACCTATGCCTCTGGAGGCCGTTTTATCCCATGGGTAAAATTCTATACGTATTTCTAAACAAGGGTTGGCTGCGCTGTCCTGTATTTTTTGGTGTAAAACTTTTACATAAGAATACTGATCTTTTTTATGTATTTATTTATTTATTGTGTTTTGTACTACATATCCATATTATATATTTATCAAAAAATGGTACTCCTCTCAGCTATGTACAAGACCTTATGCTTTGTAAGTGTGGATCGAAAATGAAACGAAAAGAATAAATGGTGTACTACAAATGTCGCGAATTTAGAATTTAGTATCCGGACTTTGCTTTATTCAGTTTGTAACCTTACGGATCGGCTTTGTGTTTCCTTCTGCATGTGTAGGTAAAAAACATTTTAGAACTGACTACTGACTAGATTTTTATAGAAATTATGTATGCCGGTTCTTGGCCAATTGGGCCACCGGAAGTTGCGCTTGCCGCAAACGAAGCGGACAATTACGCGATGACCGATTGTTAGCGGGAAAAAACGAAAAGTATTAAAGGCAAAAGTTCAACTGTACTGTGCAACTGGACAAATGAAGCGCTCACGAGAACGATCTATTATCAATTCAGTCTTTTTTCCCGAGAGTCGTGTTGTTCTCATCGACTGCTTTGTACGTACAGTGGCAATCGTATACCAGGCCATTTCAAACGGTCAATATGGATCGTTTTTCCCCAGAAATGGAGAGATGGCACGAGTTAGGGCATCACAATTGAACCGTACCGACACTGTATCCTATTCGTATCCACGGTACCGGCACTGTATCCTATGCGTATCCACTGTACCGACACTGTGTCCTATTCGTATCCACGGTACCGACACTGTATCCTATGCGTATCCACTGTACCGACACTGTGTCCTATGCGTATCCACTGTACCGACACTGTATCCTATTCGTATCCACTGTACCGACAGTGTATCCTATGCGTATCCACTGTACCGACACTGTATCCTATTCGTATCCACTGTACCGACAGTGTATCCTATGTGTACCCATTGTACCGACACTGTATCCTATTCGTATCCACTGTAACGACACTGTATCCCGTGCGTACCCAATGTACCGACACTGTATCCACTGTACCGACACTGTATCCACTGTACCGACACTGTAATCACTGTACCGACACTATATCCAATGTGTACCCACTGTACCGACACTGTATCCTATTCGTATCCACTGTAACGACACTGTATCCCGTGCGTACCCACGTACCGACACTGTATCCACTGTACCGACACTGTATCCACTGTACCGACACTGTAATCACTGTACCGACACTATATCCAATGTGTACCCACTGTACCGACACTGTATCCTATTCGTATCCACTGTAACGACACTGTATCCCGTGCGTACCCAATGTACCGACACTGTATCCACTGTACCGACACTGTATCCACTGTACCGACACTGTATCCACTGTACCGACACTGTATCCACTGTACTGATTTCAGTGTCAGTGCACTGATTTTTTGTGCCAATGTTCTGCATATATATGTATAGTATCTTGTGATTAAGTATCGTCCCCGAGTTGCTAAGGTCTTGAAACTGCATTCGGAAGCTGATAAATGAAGCAAATTTCCAAGCGCTTATAAATAAGTGTATTATTAGACTGTATGTAAGTATTAAGTGTCGCATTGCGCAAGGCAAACTAAGGTGACTGCAAAAGAGTTATCATACGGAACACCTGCATAAGAAGTATCTGGCCATCAAGAACGTTTTCCTGTGGCACAAATCCCTGATGAAAAGGAAAACATCGTTTGCCAGTGATTCCGCGCTCTTGTCTGCCAGTTTATCATTCGTTCAGACGGAATGTTTCGGATGGTAAGTCACTGAATAACAAACTATATAAATTTTCAAATTGTATTTTCAGACTATCAACAAGGCAAGCGATACAGGATAGGACGTAACCTACTGGCCAATACTCGGCAACTAAATAAATTAAAATTAGCGACTACTCTGTTCACAACCTTTTACTTTGTTTACTACATTTCGCACATCCTTTCAATCGTTTTCTTTATGTATATAGACACTACCGATCGCTTTGTTCACAGCCTTTCCTGAGTGATATCCAATTAGTTACGTATTTGAATTTATATACCCATTTTCAATAATTTGGCGTTTATTAACGAGCCATTCTCAGTATAGCAAGCGCAGGTCTTTTTACAATTTTAATCTTCCCAATACCGCTACGGATAGGAGCACGTAATTGACGCAATCAAGAGATCCGAAGCACAAATTTTATAGTTAGCTGCATGCAACAGTCCATACGTAATTAATAAACACTAATCCAGAACATGTGATATCGAAAACCCACAATGCTATTCGTCTTCTGAGTCTGATAACTCTAATTCAACATTTTCCATGTTCTCTAGATAGGCATTTCTGCGCAGTATAAGGCGATGCAAAAAAAATAATTGTCTGTGCTTCGGCATTTTAAACAAAGCATGCCGAAATCGCCCCAGCCAGCTGAAAGTTTTCTCGCAGCTTTGAGTGTTTGTAGATGCTAAGTTGGGATATGCGTCGCTTATCTTCTGCGGATTGTAAGTGGTTTTGCACTCGTGACCAACATGATTTCCAAGGTGAAACCGGTCGATGACCTTTGTCATTCCTTCCGTCCAAAGCTTGTTATACGGCTCCGGAAGTGGCAGGTCTTGCTGGGCGCCTTTCAGCTTATCAAGATGACACATGTTATCGTAAGCTAAGAAATATTTAGGCCAGTCCGGCTTTGGGACATTTTTTAGCGTAAGGTATTTCCAAGCCAATAAAATCAGGAATACTTGGGAAACCGATTCCGACCTTCAAAAACAACCTTTATTATGGGCTGTCACTATGCTTTTACTGACAGTTTGCTCTAATAAACTAGACAATCTTCATGCCCGTCGCACTGGAGCCCATTTTCGAAACTTACTTGTAGATTGGTGATAATAAATCAATATGACCGCCAGCACGAACTACAGCAAAGTAACCACGCGATCTGACAGGCTGCTTCTTCGGTTGTCCCAGGTTTTTTTGGCACGGAATACCATCGTCCATGCAGTTTTCGAAGACATCGTTTTGACTGGAGGTGGGAGGAACCATCCGGTTTGACTTCAGGCTTCTTATCAGCACACCGACGCCTGCGTCAACCAAAATTGTCAAAAGGCAATAAGTTAAAGTTATTAAATTTAGAACGGAAAACCTTGCAGGTGCAAATCCTGAAACCGCCTATTATTTGGCAGTCCGCGTTCTGTAGCCAAAGCGTCATGTTGTTCGCAAAACAAGGATCCCAGCTTCCGAAGTGGTTGGTTCGTGCAAACATCAGGATAGTTAACTAATTTGATGTTGTCAACTGTATTCTAAAAAATTTCAGTCGAAGCTAGTTTTTAGTTAGTTTTCCTTCTTGTATCACAGTTGTTACTTACATCTTGGACCATGGCACAGATTGCGAAGTGATTGTTCCAGATTGCGTCAGCTGACCACACTACCCCACATCCTTTGCTCTGACACAGTGAATTATGCGTATGAGGGTACAATGTTTCGCAACGTAGCGCTTCAAGTACGGGCAGGACTTCTTCCAAATTAAACTGATTGGAAAACCGAAAGTCCATCTGAAGCCTCCGCAGTTCTAGCTCAATTTCCTGTCGAATGAATACTTCTGATGCGTGCTTTCGCGAGAACCCTGAAAAAATATTTTACTGTAATGATGCTTTTCAGTAGTTTTTAAAGCAAATATACCATTTCTTCCAAACGCTTCGTTGTAAGTTTCCGAAAATCCTCGGTAGGTAGCGTGGCACTGCAATCTGATACATGTTTGCTTATTACGCGGATAGAACAGCTAAATACAACGCACTTACATATTCTGCACAAAAAGCTGATACAATTTTTGCGTCCAGAATGTTTGCAACGAGACGCGAATAAGATCTTGAGGTTGTTGGTAAAAATGATATCTTCCACTGGCTCCGCAAGTTCCAGCGTCGTTGTGAGAATAAATTTCTTGAAATGGCAAATTAAGTTACTTTTTCGCAGATGAAACCATGGTTTTGGGTTCTTCAGCAAAAGAAACTGAACCGGATACTTCAGACGATGAAGGCGTAGATGGTACTGCTTCTGCGACGTTGCAGAACTCTGCAGATAATAAAGCCAGTCGGAAATCGGTAAGCAAGTTCAATGGTTGATTAATCGTTAAAATTTTTGTTTTGCAACATCTTACATTGATCAAGCAGATTAACCGGTACAGTTTTGAGTTTTTTGTACTTAGGACATTGTGAGAATATGCACTTCACAGCCCAGTGTACCCATATTCGGCACGGACAATTCTTCCAGAGAGGGCAACGGAGCGGACGGGGTTGATCCGATTCTCGAAGCGCTTAAGCCTATTATTACGTCAAATAGTGAGTTCTGCAATTGCAACTTGATAGCTTTGCGCTTCATCTACAAGTAAACGTTTTGCAGACAATTTGCCAAAAACTGCCGTGGCACTGGGAGAACGTTTTGCAAATCTGAGTGGAGAGCTTCTGCAAGATGCTTGCGCCAAATGTTATGAAAAAATTCCGCAGCTGGGATGTGCATCTGAATCTACTGCTGCAAGTTCTTCATTGTCCAATTTTTTTTCCTGTTCCACCTGTGGTTTGCACTTTCACGAGGCCTGCATTAATGTTCCATCAATGAACACGCGCCATGGGAAGAAGCAGCAAGTTCCAGCGGAGGGCGAGTGGAAGTGTCCATTTTGCGCAACGAACTCGCGTAAACGTGCTGCGAAGAACACCGGAGGCCCACGTAAAAAGTGAACACCCGTCGCTGTTGCTATTATGCAGTGTTTTAGCTCTTTATTTTAATATACGATAATTTAAAATGTGACCTTTAAACAGCCATTATGTTTAAAAGTATATATTTCGAACTGATTAGTGTTTTATTTATTAGACTGAAATATTCGCATTCAAACAAAATCTTTTGCTTAATTCAGACTTGGAATAGTCGTTATGTACTGAATGCAGTTTCGCCATGTTATGAATTTAATCGACATCCTTGCAAATGTTTGTTTCTCATTAAATCAGCACTGCAAAGGCACGATACAGTGGATACAGACTGGGTACAATGTCGGCACAGCGGGTACAAGGCAGATACAGTGGATACAGATTGGGTACAATGTCGGTACAGCGGGTACAAGGCAGGTACAGTGGATACAGACTGGGTACAATGTCGGTACAGCGGGTACAAGGCAGATACAGTGGATACAGACTGGGTACAATGTCGGTACAGCGGGTACAAGGCAGATACAGTGGATACATATAGCTTACAGTAATTCATGGATATCACTTCAGTATCCAAGGATGCCCTAATCGTTTTAATGTATTGGATACAATGCTAGTGTATCCAATGGGAATTTGGCAAGCCCAAATAGAGGTACTCTATGGAGAGCAGAAATGTCGCCTTCAGGCTTAAACCGCGAACCCTGTGTATATAGAGCTGGTGCAGAAGTGATACCGGCTGTGTACATTTTTTATTATTTTGCCATTTTATCACATGGTGCACAGAATTTTTAAAAAATGTTTATCTGAAAGTCGTCCTACTTTTGAACGCACCCTTCAGGATGGTCCAGTCTTTTCAGTCCTGTAATTCAGAACGTTTTCTTTGCCAACCCTGAGACAGCTTTCAAGAAACAGAATACCCATACCCAACTCTAGGCTATCAGAAAATGTGTTTAGTTAACATAAGGCATTTTTAAAAAATGTATTTGATCAGCGTAACAACCTGGGTGGCGCGCCCTCTGTAATTTAAACCAGCGAAAAAATATTGTGTCCAGCAGTGATTTTTTCACCACAAAATAATATGTCAAAAAAACAATGCAAGAAGGCATAGAAGTACGCGAGAGTGAAAATTTCTGCGTTTGTGCTGTACCGGCACACTTTCTATATTAGAGCAATCAATGCAATGTAACAGCGCGCCTCACAATTGATAATGACAAAAATTAATTATTACAGTGTACATGGTACTTGATTTACCTTATTGTTTTAACATATCTAATGGTAATAGCATAGTGAAGTTGTTTAATATCTGCAAAAATTCCCGATACTTCCGAAGTTTATTGCAAATGTGCAATGTTATTTTGTTACATATCTGTATTATCTTGGCGCAAATGCGCCATCCACACCACCGGTATTACCACACAGTATCATGCTTGTTAAGTACCTGCAGTGTAACCAAAAATATAAGTATACAATACACAGCATTTAAACTTTAATTAGATGCAGACCCGGACCACCTTTAAAAGCAGATAAAATTTCGACTTTAGAAAATGCTGTGTAAGTATAATTAAGAATCATTGCAGGGCTGATTAATTAAACAGGCTCTTCTACAATATGATTTTGGAGGGCTTTGCGTCGACTTTGGAAATACAATCTCTGAACGGGGTTGCTTTTTCGTTGCATATGCTGACATAGGCGGTGTATCGAGCATATTACGCCTCCGGAAGTTGTGACCGATTGGCCGTTTCAGCAGGGACAATGTACTACGGCAGCATCATGCTGTATTTAAAACTGATTAGTTTTGGTCAACACATCATTTTGTTTCAATACACCGCATTATGCATACAATGCACCGCGAGCTCCACTGCTCCGATCATAAGGCATAAGCGGCGTCAGAAAAGGTTAATACTGCATAACAATTCCCCGTACATAATAAATACTGTTTTTCATGCATACACAGTGTTCTTACTCAGTGAACAATAAAATTAAACACCTTTCCCGTACTAACTCTATATACTTGTACCCGGCGTTAACAAGGGACGCCGTTAACAGGCAAAACAAGAATTAATCGAACCGATCAATCGGGGGAAAATTTTCTTTGCGGATAAAAAGGAGGTTGAAATATAATGTGCACGCAGGAAGCTGCAAGATGCTTACAAGCACCATGCAGCCATCTGCGTGCACATTTCTAGGAGGGGGGATGCCGAAATACAGCCGGATCCGCAATCGTGTAAGTTCCGGCACAGTAAAATAAATCCCGCAATTACAACAGCTGTCGCCATCCGATAACATTACGAAACTGCAGATCAGCAGTAGAATCTGGCGCGGATAACAGAATTATAGAGGGCTTATATATGTATATTACATTTTCTTATGATGCCATAAGTATGCGCATAATTTAACAAGGCGTCCGTCCCACAACGTTGTGGCAGGAAATGCGTGGCGGACCTGCGGTTACCGACATGGCGAGAGAAACCCTGTACCGTATCCATGAAACGATGCTAAAGACAGTACTGTACGAAATCATAATAATTATGGAAGGAAGACGTTTGTACATACAGTGTATAAGTACACTGTATGTACATTTTTAACGGTAGTAACGATACTATCGTTAAAAATTTATTCGTCGCGGTGTCTACCATACAAGTGCGTGTCGTTGTACAGTCTGTACGCTTCCATCGCGCTTTTGGTGCTTATTAATCGGTTCGCGCTAAAGGACCTTTGATCGGTGCATCACTGGATTTGATGGTTGTTTTGGTGAAGGGGTTCAGTTAACCTGCCGTTCGTAAGAACGTCAGGTCGAGTAAATCGTTAAAATTGCTGTACACGCTTGTATAATGTGCTGCCTGCACGCCGCATTAAATTATTACAAGCTTTTGCCCGTCCGAATGTGCTGATCTTTTCCATAATGGTACTACTATTCTGTATCTGTTTTTTTTCACTGTAGCGGTTACTGTGTTCGTAGTTTTGCTGACAAAAGCGGTTACTTATTGTTGACCAATACGGAAAAGACAAGATCGAACGATCTCCTACAAATTTGAGAAAGTTTTAGTTTTTTCTGCATGCTGAAGTGTTCGCAATCTTAACGGTTCAGATCCGTGTTTGATTTTGCATAGGAAGTAGAAAAAGGCAGAACTGACGAAATTTCTCTTGAAGTTATTTATCACGGTGCTTGACCGGTGGCGGAAGTTGGGCTTCCTGGGTAGCGAAGCCGACAATTACGCGATAAAAGATTTTAAGATGGCATAAAAGGCATTATAAGGGTCAAGTTCAGGTACAGAGTACAACTGCCCACAGTTTCCACGAGAACGATATAATCAGTGCAACAACACTTTCTTGCCGAACCGGGTTGTTTTCTTCGGCTGATTCGTACCTGGACTCGCATTATATAACTAGCTACTGTACTGTCAAAGTTGAGTATTATATTGCACTGAACTGAGCTATTGCAGTCTTTCTTTCGTACGTCTCTTTTGTATCGCGGGATTCCGTGCATTCCGTGCATTCCGAGGCGGCTGCTGCCCGCATCTGCACTATGTCAAAGTTTACGTATCTGTAGATGGTTCGTCCCGTCATTTCCTTGCTCGCGATCCTTTTCCGGCTTGAGACCGCTCAAGCGGTCCTAAGCCGCTCTAGTCGACCATGTTTTTCAGTGTTATTGAGTGAGGTGATTTTCACGTAGCGCATTGCCATCGCGCGCTGCCGATTTTTCTCTCGTTCGGCTTTCCGGTAAAACAACGTGCCATTCCCCTTTTCCATCGCATTTTCCCTTAGGGAAAGCGTGTTGCATACCCTCACATGTAACACCACCAAGCTGACGGATGCGATATGCGACGAGTGACATGCCTAGGCTCTGGACTTCGACTTCCGCCCATCGAAGTGGCTGGCAGGTCGGATGGCCGTGATTCGTGTGTGATTATGGGTGCCACCGTGTATAATTAATATAATTTTTACGGTATATGTTTCCGCCGTCAATCGTCGCGATGCGCTGCAACACGTTCTCGCCGAGCATTTATAACACACCGTATCTGCGTTTAGGAGTTGGCTAATCGGGCGGTGGAATGGCACCACAGCATCGAGCGGTAATATTCCATTGGCCGAGAAGCCAAGGACGCCGCTAAATTATGAACTTACTGCATATTTCCTGTAAAGTTTGCGAGAAATTGGTGACTACTATATACGCTCATGCTGTTAGTGTTGACTGTGGAGAACACCGGTAAATTGCTGTACTGATGTACGTACGGTAGTTAGTGCAAAGATGGTTGCACTACCGTCTACCATGTATTTATTATGCAAGAATGTGATAATGTAACGTGTTTATTTGTTTATTTAATATGTATTTGCTTGAAGGTAGTAGTTTGTATTTATTAACCATGCGACTACCTATTTATTTTTATACTTTATCAGTACTTGTATAGTAGCCACGTATTGTGAATCGAAACCAAAAGATTAAATGGTATGCTACAAATTTTACAAATTTAAAATCTTGTATCTGGACTTTGCTTTATTCGTAAACCATACGGTTTGGCTTCGCCTTTTTTTCTGTACGTACTTGGAGTTGAATTAAGCATCTCAGGAATGACTAAATTGTTATCGAAATGAAATTGTGTAAGTTACGCTTACCGACAACAAAGTGGACAATTACGCGATGAACGATAGGAAGCTCGCAAAAACCGGATTAAAGGCAAAAGTGCAGATGCAGCTGTATTGTACAAACGGAGCGCTCGCTAGAACAGTACAATTAATTTTAATACGGACTTCTCGCCGACAGTCATGTTATTCCTATTAACTGCTTGGTATATACAAACGCACTCGTGTGCCATTGCCAACCATCAAAATCTCGTATTTTCGCTCCGTTAAAGTGAGTTTGTCAGCGCGGTCCAGTAAAACAACACTGTTGGAAAACCCTGCATGCCACTGTGGGCGAATGACACAGGGAGCGGAATCGCCAGCATTTTGGCATTCCCCATCCGAAAACGTTGCAGTCGGATTGACTGCAACGTTTGTGGATGGGGTATGAAGAAATGCAGATGCGGAATGCTTGACCGAATTAATAACATCACCCATCGAACAGCTTGCTACGCACGACCTGAAGTCACTTCAGCGCATTTGTTATCGAATAGGAAATCTTGCTGCCGCGGCGATGAGCCAGCGGATGTAGCGGTTTTGCTCCGTTAGTATCAGAAGAGGATTAAACGGAAACACTCGCGTGCTTTTCGTTAATTATCAGCGAGTTGGTAAGATGAACCGTATACACTTATGCGATAACCGGT